GTATCTTGAAAAATTCGTAAGGAGGGGCATTCGTAACTAGAGGTACCACTGTATTTACTTACATAATAGTAAATAGACCAATGTTTTCTGTCCCTATACATTTTTTTTTAACACTGCTTGGTTTATTTACAATATTCTGGACTTTCAGATATTGTACTTCTGACTATTGAACACTTTAGAACTTTACAATGTTTTGCCTCTTATATTAATCTAAATACTTTCTGTTCCAGGATCTTATGTTTCTTTACAACAGCTAAACTTTGTCAGATACAAACTTTAAAGCTAATAAATCCATGAGTGGGAATCGATCACTGAAGAAACGATGTGGGGAATTGCAGCTGGAATCCCCTGCACGCTATGGTCATGTTCCTTCTACAGGATGTACATTGAGCAAGTTGATTCAGTTGCCAACACCACCTTTATCAAAGCATCAGCTAAAACGATTAGAAGAACACAAATATCAAAGTGCCGGACGGTCCCTACTTGAGCCCCTTATGCAAGGTTATTGGGAATGGTTAGTGAGAAGAGTACCAGCCTGGATTGCTCCTAATCTGATTACAATTGTTGGACTGATAATAAACATCTGCACAACCATAATATTAGTGTTTTACTGTCCAACAGCTACTGAGCAGGTAAGTTAAGATCTCTGATACTTTTTTGTGACGAAAAAGGAAAAAGTAAAAAGAAAGGAAGAGCTGCAGCCGAGGCAATGGTCAGATAAGAGAAATCTCAGCCCAAAGCAGGAATGGGATTTGAGAAAGTGTCTCTGACTTGACCCTCCCTAGTTCTCTTTAGGATAAAGGCAGGGAGGGAGGGGGGAGGCACATTCAGAGTTGCAAGATTCTGTTACTGTAACCCTATAATAAAAGTAGTTTTAGTATTCATGACTTTGGCATTCAAGTCTGGTTTACCTCGAAGGACTGCCATCTTCAGATTCATAGACAAAATAATTGCTTGGAGTTTGTGAACCTGTTTGCAGCTTCTTAAGGCAGCTGTGTTTTGGTTGGTAACATGCAGCTGCCACACAATATCAGGATAAGATATAGAAATTTTAAGGAGTTCCAGACAGGTGCTACATTTACCCCTGCTTGCTATCAAAAACTTTTTGCCTTCCAATCAAAACTCCCTAATATATTTTATATGCCCTAGCGAATCAGCATTTGGCTAGTTATGCTGAGATACTTGTTCTACTGCTTTTACTCATGAACTATTTAACAGTTACTAAATAGGACTCCTAATCACAAATTTTCATGTGAAAGAGAAATAACTACTTATTTCTAAATGTTTAATCAAATAGCAATTTAGAATAAATACTGAAAGTTTGAAGGATCACTAGTTGTTATCTAGTTTACTTATCCTGTCCTGAGAAAAGATACTGTGCACCTTAGACATGCCTGACTGATGCTTGTGCAGAACATTTTTTTCTTAGCATCTCACAGCATTTTGTTTGCATTGGTAGGAAACTTTTTTAAAAATCAACCATATCTTCCATTGTTACATATAAGTGGCTAACTGCTTTGCTTGCTTTTTTTTTTTTCAACATGACTTTTTAAAGAAGACTAATTATACTTTTCTTTTTTAACCTTTTAAGAGATTAGATAATTTTTATAATTCTTCAGTGGATTTTTCATATATTCTTCATCCTCCACTGAATGTACAAAGCTGACGTACATATGCTATTTATGATAATATAAATGGAGGCTTATATACTAAGTATTTAGTATTTAATGAATGTTGATGATGTTTTTATCAGATCAAAAATTGTTGAATCTTTTTATTTGTTTTTTGACAGCATTTATAATCCATCCCTCTCCTAACAGACTATGGGCAGGGAATAACAGAATAGCAACAGTAACATTTAAAAAAACAAATGCAAAAACAATTCTAAAACAACCATATAATCATTCTTCCAATGTTAGACACCCAAAATCAACTAAGGACTGAAAGCTCTTTGGAATTCAGCTTATTTTTATGTTCGTCCTTACATACTTAGCTCTGATTTCCATATAACAAAGGGAACAGAAGCAAATTCTTATGAAGAGTCATTTTTTTCTGGAACAGCCCTCCCCAAATGCATCTGGCTCCCACCCTGGCCTTGTTCAGAAGAGCTCTGAAAATCTGGCTCTTTCTCCAGGCCTTGTGTTAGAATGAGTGGCATGCTTGATTGCCTTTAATGGTTGCTTTTCTTCTGGCATTTGGGGTATGTGTGTGTTTGTTTCAATTGTATTGTTTTTACTATATGCCACCTAGAATCGTTACAGAATTTGGTGGCCATTTCTAAAATGAATATATTATTTCTTTTTGCTTTACTTCAGCAAACTTTCATTACTCACAACAGACTATTAACTAGCCATTACCTTTGTACCATCATTTGCACATCCTGAAATTTCTCCATTTTCTCATACTTAGTAACCATTCTATAAAGGACAAATGCATATATTTGCTTTAGTTTTTTGTCACTCGTGTAACTTTCAATTGTTCATTCCATTTTTCCTGTTGAACACAGTTATTCTGATCTTTGGTAAATTTAATGCTCAGATCCATATTCATTGTTGCATCATGTACTCTATCTAACAATTGCTGCAAATCATTTGGGTTTTCAGCCAAAAATATAGTATCATCATCTCCATTCCAAAATATATACATTCATTTCTCTAACCAATATACCTCCAATGTCACCACCACAAACATTATTTATACATTTATCTATACATGTAAATATATTAAACAACCAAGAGTACATTATTTATCCTTGACTTACTCCCTACTCAGTGGAACCATTTCCTAGGTTCCATTGGTTCTTATGCATGCTTTACTTCTGTCATAGACACTCTTACTGCATTCAGCAACTGTCAACTTCTTCCATGAAAATGATCACATGGAATTTACTCAAAGAAGCAATATCTGTAGCAAACAACAGGATTAAACTGATAAGTATCATGGAATTTACTTATTAAAAAACAATAAAGCTTATTTTAAAATAATTACAGAGTTAGAAAAATATGGTAGTTATTTTAAGATAGAAAGAATTAACTTATCCTGGCTAGAAAAAATATCAGTGGTAAAAAAGAATATTTTACCAAGAATTAACTTTCTATTTCAAATTATTCTAATAATTGAGCCACCCAGAGTCACCCGTTGGGGGAGATGGGCGGCATACAACTTTAATAAACAAACAGTTGAAGACAAGGTACTAAATAAGTGATAGAGACAAGCAATTAACTTTGTTTAGACAAATAAAAGACTGAGAATTATACTTAAAATTTTGCAAGACACAAAAGAATGAGGAAGACTGACAGTACCAAATCCCAAACTATATTATTAAACCAGATGTCTCACTTGGATTAAAGACTGGATCATATCATCTTATTACTAAGTTACATCTGTTGAAAGAGGAGTCCCAGAATTTGCACAAATGTCTTTGATTGGATACAAACAGAAGTGTACACTCTGTAAGAGATTATTCAGTTACAAACAGAATATTTAAAGTATGGGATAAACACACAAAAAGAGTAAGCCATTTATTTTCATGAAGGTGAATGTGCAAAAAAAATTGATACAGTGGTACCTCGGGTTACGAACGCCTCTGCTTACGAACTTTTCGGTTGTGACCAGCTCCAGCCGCAAAAATTTACCTTGGTTTGCGAACTCCGCCTCTGGGTACGAACTGGATCCGCGGCCATTTTCCGCCGTGACACGTGGTCTGCGGCCATTTTCCGCCCATGACACATGGTCCGCGGCCATTTTTCCACCCGTGCCACGTGGTCCGTGGCCATTTTCTGCCCATGCCACGTGGTCCGTGGCCATTTTTCCGCCCGTGCCACGTGGTCCGCGGCCATTTTTCCGCCCTGCCACGTGGTCCACGGCCGTTTTTCTGCCCGTGCCACGTGGTCCGCGGCTGTTTTTCCACCCTGCCGCGCGGTCCACGGCTGTTTTTCTGCCGTGCCACGTGGTCCGCGGCCGTTTTTCCGCCCTTGACGTGTGGTCCGTGGACGCCGGAACGGATTAACGGTATTTACATAAAGCCTTA